GAATGGAAGAATTTCATATTAAAAGAACAGATGAATGTAACAACTTTTGTCCATAACAGTTATTTAAAATTATTGACGCATACTCTTATTTCCAGATTTACTAAAAGCTGTTTGAGTTTTATTCATTTTGACAAATGAATACTAAGGTAGCAATGAGACTAAGAATACTATAACAGGGTCTATAACAGAAACAGCAGTGAGCCTAGTGAGACGAGAGCAGGATGCTAATTGATTGGGTGGTTTACAATGATAATGAACCAATCAGGGAACAGCATGGTGCAGCGACCAGAAATTTAATCCAGGAAAATTTGTATATATACCCTTGTAAACCACCACTGTGTCACATTCTCCTGAAGAAGACTTGTAGTCGAAACATGTTATAGCATTCTAAGCCTCATTGCTACCTTAGTATCCAAAGAATGTTTGGTTATGGATCCAATGGGGCTTCAGTTATGGTTGGGAAAGAAAAAGGGTGTTTTGGCTATTTTTAAATTAGATGTACTGCAATTGGTTGACACCCATTCTCTTACCCATAAACTTGAACTTGGAGCTTTGGATGCCATGAAAGAGATTGCCCAAATGAATTAAATATGACACATTATAACTGGCATTTATAAACAGTACCACATTTCACTGAAAGTTTGGAGAGAGCTTTAGCTGTTGCTGAAGCTATAAAAAGAAAAAAGTACAAAAACCTGTTATCCTTGGGAGGACAAGTGGCTGCATCACTCCATCGTGCATTTATAGCATTCACAAACAAATTACTCTTCCATCCTGGCACATTTTGGGCATGAAGCAAAATCAAACAGACCAGAAATTATTGGAAGGAAACAGTTAATCACTCATTTTCTAAAGAAGTTAATTTGTCATCCTCATTCTATACTTATCGGAGCAGCTATCATGTCTTAGTTTAAAGTTTCAAGCAAATGTCACAACCCTGACCTTCAGCATTCAAGCACTGGAAACATTCTACCCTTCTCCGACAGCTATGTCCCAACAACCTAGATTCCATCTCCAAGAATTTCTTGATTTGCCTAATGGTAGATTATACCAAGGTGTGCAGTTTTCCAGCTATGACCAAGATGTCTACAATGCACTTGACTATACTAGAGATACTGTTTTAGACAATATTTAAAAGCATCTAAAGTACTGCTTTAACATTACAGAAACTACAGAAAGTCTTGAAACTGCTCAGGTTTTTGATACAAGGAAATAGCTTCAAAATTGCCAAGAGCTGTCAGTCTTTGATACTAAGAATATTACAGTACTTTGTAATTACTTTGAGCAAATTCTTCTCAAAAGTGGATGTGACAGCACCAGGAATGGATGAAATGTTAACTTTTTATCCAGCATCAAAGAAAAATACCACCCACAAAATTGTGAGTTATGCTTTCTGAATGTGATAGCCTTCACTAAAGGTTTCAGAACATCCTGCACCTTTCAGAGATTGTCCAAGTTCTTTCCATGACCACAACAGCATGTAAGAGAGGATTTTACACTCTAAAATGTTTAAAATTATTGGTGCTCAAATCTAAACATTGAATTGTTGAATATACTGCTCTTCATTTGCATTGAAGGATTGGGTAATGCTGATCACAATGCTGCACATGTAATGGAGATGTGGTGGACAGGAGGCAAATAGGCTAAAAACTTACAAGCTAGTGGAGTTAAACTATGAGCGAAATTTGGAAACCTACCAAGTGACAAATTGCAGCAAACAGCTCTGATGTGCATGATGTTTTTAAGGAATAAATAATGGGTTTGTCAAATATATATATATATATGTTCTCATGTATTACTACAATTGTTTAGTAACATGCCTATATTGTTTTTCTCTTTATCATTTTGACAGATATTTACAATTATAAGTTTAACATCTATATCACTATTTTCAGAATCCTGCTACTTATCCTTTAAGAATGATACATTGTTTTTTAATATGAAATACTTTAAATTAGTCTAAGTTATAATAAAAAACTTTTCTGAACATTTTTCAAATATTCTCTGAAGTTGCATTTTGAAACTTATCATAGTAAGTGAAACTAATTGCAGGAAGTAATTCTGTTATTTGACCGTAAGTTTTTATATTAGTTTAAATGTATATAAAAAAAAAAGGACAAAAAAAAATGTAAAAGATCTATCACAATTTTCTAATTTAACTCTTTGTATGCAAAACTATTTTGAAACATTTTTACAAAACTGTCTTATTTTTTCATACCTTTATAAGTGAGTGAAAAAAATTTATAAAAAATAATTTATTTTTTCAACGAAAATGTATTTCTTTCTTTTGTGCTACCTTCTTTAATGACTTGACTCCACATCTACATCTTAAAAATTGAAGTGTTTTTTTATATATATAATTTCAGTTACGCCAGTAAAAATACTAGTTCAGCAGCCCAAGGGGCCAGTAGTATTATCAATCATTGTCTAACTTAATATGATTTTGTGCCTATCTTTAGTTTTTTTCACATCATTTTCCATTCCAGGAAGAATTCCAACTTAGAATGCTAGAATCCCTTGCCATTAACCCTCAACTGGTAGGGTAAAATATATGTACCATAAGTGGTAGGGTGGGTCAAAATGATCCATGTGTAATAAAATTATAAAATATTATTTTTATAATACTGTGGGGTCAGATTGTGACCCACAAACAACAAATGATTACAACAGTAGGAAAGAGAACAACAATACTACATTCGCTCAGCTCAACACTCATAAACTGATTGAGTATATAGTAGAGAAAACATCAGGTAGAGAAGCATTAGCTGAGTTGGAATAGTGACTTGAAATATCGATGTGGGTCATTCTAATCCCACCCTACCAGTTGAGGGTCAAGCTAAGAAAACCAGCTCTTAACCAGAATATGAATGCACTGGCACTACATCTTCAATTGTGAAGAAAGAACAGAACATATTTTATCATGAAGCTTATTCTACAGTATTAAAACTATATTTATGGCTATTTAGTTTTAACAAGTTTCATTGGAGTAATCTATTATTAATTATTTTTTGTTGATTTTTACCACAGGCCACTATATAAATGTGATTCTCAACCTGTCAAAAACATTGAGAATAAGTCTAATGTCTCAAATCTGGAGGGTAGTCTTGATGAGTTACCACCATATTCTACTAGCAAGTACTCAACATTCGTGTAATGTTTACTCATTCTAGAATTATTTCTTTTGATTTACATTTTTATTAATATAAATCACTCTTAGTCATAAGTGGTTTTTAATAAAATTATATACATCAGGGATACACTGCTGGCTCAAAGGTTGGGTACCACTGCACAATATTATAAAAAGTATTAAAACCACACTCTTTCATCTAATAGACACAACTCAATTACACATCAGTTGCATAGTGCACTGTTGCACAAGATTCATAGAGGTCAGTAAATGCCCAAGAGTGTACTTTGGTCAGCAAGTAGCTCTGAAATGAATTCAATTGAACCATCTAGAATGTTTTGGAATACCACCTCAAGGCACGTTAATAAATTCTCACTACATTTATGGCCATTTTGCAAAAAGAGTGGCATTCTATTATACCATATATATCAACAGTTGGAAACAAAATTAGAAACAGTTTAAGCTATGCTTTTTAACACTTCCTATTGAAATGGGACCTAAAGAAAAACAAAGTCTCTTTACAGAGCGTACTGTCTCAATAACTATATCTAAATTAAAGTGGTTCATCATAACAATATTTTTTTATATATTACAGTCATATTACTGAGTTCAGGAAACATTTTCTAATTTATAATCTATATGTTCAGGATTGCATACATTAAAAATACACCAAATATAATATGTTTTGGATCAATAGTTATAGCTAGATAATTTCTAATAATAATTTAAGCTTCATTTTCAGTTTTCATACTAGAATATAAAAAATTATGAAAATTTAAAAATAAACATTCCCCAATTCATTATAACAGAGATGAAAATTGAGAGTACTTTGAATACACCATGAATGTGACAGCATGGGAATTTATCTATGTTATAATTATATAAATTATCTGCATCATATTCAAATATGAAGCTTACTGCTACTTTTTTGAATTACTAATTTTTTCTGATAAAATATTTTACTGATCTTTAACATACTGGACAAATACACACTCCCATTATGTTAACTTACTTTCTTTGCAATAATTAATTCATCTACACTATATCACAGTTAAGCTTACAAAACATAACAAGCAAGCTAACTATACAAGTTATCCCATAACTGAGAGGATATCATTACCAATATATCCTCAAAAAACCCAAAAAACAGTTTTAATGTCGATTGAAAGGAAAAAGTTAAATGGAGAGGAAAATGTAAGACCTAACAATTTGTTAAGAGTTAAAACCAGTCCCAAAGATTATTATTCAATCAAAATGTTAGTGACATTTTCCCTCAAAAACAACTATTAAACATTATTGTATTTTTAGAATTTACTATCTTGTACTACTACTACTAGCATAAATACATCCATTTTTGTGATAAGACCTACTGTATACTTACTATTATTTTATAATCAGTATAAATTTAACTATCAACTGTTAATCAAATGAATCATGATTATCATATGGAAAAATGTTCTATGACAAATTTATTGGCAGCTTTTTTCTGTGCACCAAGGACATTGACTAGACAGACTCACCCTTACAATGTTACACTATAACTATAATTTATTATATTGCTTCTACTGTTTTTGTGTTAATGTGTCTAATCCACGTAATTAATGCAACATAACTTCTACTATTCCTGTTGGTATTACTAGTATTAGTATAATCACTACTAGTAGTAGAGGTAGTAGTGTACAGTGTACTGCAAACTTTGCAGTTAATTAAGACAAGTTGTAATATTGCTGCAAGGCTTATCAGGTCAAGGCAATAAAAACTTATACCACTTAACTAGTGGAACAATAGGTTCACATGACCAAAATTGTCATAAAAAAACAAAGTTATAAGATATTATCAAACAATTGTAGCATATGTTGAAACGTTCTGATACCTGAACAGCTCGAGAAAATGCTGTAGCTGCCTCTGAAACAAAGCCTTTAAAAGATTTAACACCAAACTCCATCATAACCGGATGTACGCCCGTGTCATCACGCCATGTTAACCGCACATAAATAGGTCTCATTTCGGTCTTATCTGACGCTGTTGTTATTTTAAAAAAATATATAATATAAAAATTATGATGGTAACAGATTTATTATTATTTCCTAACACGATATTTTGGGATAATTTACAATTATAGATTTTTAAAAACATACAGTTTTCACAATTTTGGGATAAATGTCACTATTTTATTTAAATCTGGTGAGCTACACTATTTCAAAGAAAACAAACCTACAAACTAATAGCCACACAGAAAATTGAACATTTCATCCATGGCCTGACTAATACTGTCTTTGAGAAATAGTAAAGTAAGCTATGTTATTTCTCTTTTGAACAAGTTCTCCAATAATCCAAATGCAATTAGCACAAGTATTACACATGGCCTGAGTATTTTCAACTTGGCGAGTCTCGTACAATGTGTTAAAACACATATACTTCTTTCATTATCTCGAAAAATTGGTTTGATTATTGTAACCACTTCACCCATCCTGTGAAGTTTTCACACATGAGCACCCACCCAAAGAAACAAAACTCAGCAACTATTCATGTGGTATCAGCACTAGAAACTAACCATGTTTTTTTTGTTGTTGTTGTTAAGTTATGTATACAAATTACTAGTTGTGTCACCAAGAATCTCTCCCAAGCTCTTTGTGGACCCCCGTGTCCTTAGGTTTTTTTTACAATAAAAATGTATATCCTACCATCCCAACAAGTGTTAACAAAGAAGATAAACAGCTGCTTAAAATTCACTTGTGTAGATAAAACTAATATCGCAATAAAACTGGTAATAATCTTCCTACTTTAACCACAACTGATCTAATATGGGTTTCCAGCGAGAAAGTGTAATGTCTACTACTAATAATAATGTTCCCCGATGGGACAACGGTAAGTCTACGAACTTATAACGATAAAATCCGGCGTTCGATTCCCAGCGGTAAACATAGCAGATAGTCCATTGTGGCTTTGCTCTAGAACGAATAAACAAACTACTACTAATGATGTAATTTTAACTCGTTTACATTAGGTCACTGCTGACAAGGCCTTGCGTTTATTATTATAAATCAGCAAGAAAGACGTGTTATCTGTTAAATCTAACTTTTACTTACAAGTCTCATGTGTGAAATTAAATACGAACATTAAGAGCAGATGAGAGAATGTGATATACGGGCATATCATGTTTTCTACCTACTTTTAGTAATATAGAATTTTTCAAAACATTTTATTTCGTCTCTTTCTCTGTTTGGACATAAACACGAGGGCCAAAAACCGTTGAATTGTTTTGTACTAGTTCAATGGATTATTTTTAGATATAAAACACAAGCTTGTATCATTTACAATCAGTTTGTATTATCTTGTGGAACCAGGTTTTTCTGGTCTAAGCAAGAAATAGATATGTTATGTTACGCCTCCAGTCGTTAGTTAATTTTCCGTAAATTCATTCCACGAAACTTTAGCGACACAAGTCCTTTCTTAAATAAAACTGGTTTATTCTTTCTGAATATAACTTAGCGATACACTTAATTTCAACAGTCGCGCTATAACAAACGTCTCACGAGCTCAACTTCAACAATACTCCGTTCAATTACACACTCTCTGACTGCAGTTCAATTACTCCCTTACCTCTGTTACGTTATGACCGTCTTAAATATATACAAGACTACACTATATCTAGTAATCTCCCGACAATTCACGAAGGTTCGAGAATGATGTGGCGTGATACTAGTCACGTGACCTCGCTAACGCAACATTGTCCCTCCTTAGTATTGTTCGTCCCGAACAATAGCCACTTGCATTAAACCAATAACAATTAACAATAACTTAATTAAATGTACAGAATTACAAACACAAAATTACAGTTCAACAAAGTCTCTTAATTTTACGGGACGTATCTTCTTCCGTACTGGTCTCCGTCTCGTTGGCTTCTGCTTCACGTGGGGTTCATCTGCTTCATCAGGAAATGTCCTATCGTCGATAACAGTCACATCAGTGATAGTAACTTCATCAAGAGCTTCACCGTTTCCCTTCTCAAAACTGAGTAGCGTTTCTTCTTCGAGAGTGGCTTTTTCAGGTCAGCAGCGTCATTTATTCCTTTGTTCACTTCTTCCCAACTGAAATGTCCTGGACTGTGATAACGCCAAAGCCTGTTGGCATGCATCACTTTGGCTTCCCTTGCTG